TAAAAGCAGCTCCCCACAGTGTTTACTTCTCAGGCGAGACTTTCTTTATAGGTAGACTGACTCTGGGATTTGATGCTGCAGTTCAAGTGCAAAGTACAAGGCTCTCAGGACTGATTAAAAGAAATGACTTTTCCCGCTCTCCGCATTGTGATAGAATATGACTTTCCATTTTTAAGAGCTGGAAGATCATACCACCGACAAAAGCTTCTTTGAGTCAGCTCTTTACGGGCACTGTTTTAACGACTACATAATGAAACCTCAGCACAAATGCAAACGGGCCACATGGGCTGAAAGAACGAACTTGGCAGCTTTAAGAGTTTAATTTTTTCTGTCAATGAAAGCGTTTTGAGCATGAGTTTGCCCTTTTTTCAGACACTGGCGTCTACCTTTTTCCTCTTATCTCACAAAAGCCTGTCAGTGCTGGAGTAGCACTGAGTCAAAAGTGCCTCCAAACATTGAGTCCAACTGCAGTGACAAAGGCGCCACCATTGAACCAAATCTAGGATGCCAAATGTTGACTGTGAACAACCTAATGTCATTTTCAAAACTACTGAGTGTCATCACTAATTAAGATACATAATGAGTTACACCTGGAACCATTTTACTCAAAGAGTCCGTTTGAATGGGACCTTTTCTGTTTTTCTTCATTTCAAAGTCTGCTGGTCTGTGGATCAAGATGCCCTGCTTTACTTTGTTTTCAGTACATGGCCTATGAATCATTTGATGTAGTAAATGGACCTTGGTATTATACTCCTGTCTGCTTCCCTCCCCCTCCTTCTCTCTTATGTAACCATTTGCTGGAGATAACCTGAAGTCACCTGCTGTGGACAGACTGATAGGCCTGGCTTGTGTCCTATCTGTTATGCTGCTGATTCCGGAGGTCCTATTTCCGACAGCTTCCCGGTAAACAACACGGCCTCTGTGTTTTTTTAACTTATCTTCAGGAATAATTTTGTTCTTTTCGATCATTGTTGCTTCTTATATTCATTTTACTTGCATTAGAAATTGGGATATTGATTACACCATTTTTTGATGAGTATCTGGACCAATTTTTAAAAGGCATACACCCACTGTTTTTGAAAAGAGGCATTAAAACCAAAATAAGATACCACCTAGAATGCAAGAATACCATACTTTTGTTCTTTGGACCATTAGATCCAGAACTTACCTAGCGTAAACGTCCTATGACACTTTCACTGTGACTCGAAAGTCCTCTGATCCCCTCCCTTGGACTTAAAAAGTGCCACCCTAAAAGACAAACCTGGTTCCCCAAAGACCTTGGTCATATTTTGACCAGCCTGATGAAGACTCGTCCACCCACTCTGCATTTGGTGTTAATAACGAACACTTGGAAGTCTTGAACCTTTGTCCGTGTTATGCAAGTTTTCAACATGTTTCAAATCTTCCTTTCTGCTGGTGCTTATATTACTGTGCGAACTCTTGACTGATTGAATATGACACATGCCGCGACTGTCAAACATTGTCAGAAATGTTCAGAAGAAGAGTTCCCTGAAATCTCCAACGGTTAGGCAGATGGTCCTGACCCCTCTGTTGTGCTCTGAGACTCAGGCAGGTGCAAGAGGCAGATGAAATGTCTAGTTTGGATGTTTTCTGCATGACAAAAAACTTTTTTGATTTATTCCTTGTCAGGGTGTTGTTCTCAACTGTGGACTTTCTCTTCTGGTGCTTTTGTGGCTCTTTGTGTGCTTATTTGGGCTTATTTGTCCTGGAGTAGTTTTCAATTTGTGCATTTTATGATAAGTAAGTGCTTTTCTTGATTGCTTCTACCTTAATCAAGAGACAGGAAAACAGGAGTCTGAATACAGAGAATTATCAGGATGAATCATAAAAGAAAACTCATGTCAGAGGGTTTGTTAAGTTTACAGAACAGAAATCTAGTGAATAGACGTAATAGCTGATGATTCAGGTAAGTTGAGTTCAAGAGGAAACTGTTTAGATTGAAATAGACTGGCAGGATGTAGAATGTGTTTGAGTCTTAGACGATTACAGCAAGAAACACTTTATCTGACCAACAACTGCGAATTGTCATGTTCAAACTCCCCAATGTGATACCAATCCCTGAACTAGCAACCCAACTTCTAAAACTTTTCAATGAGTCTAAGCAAAAGGCCAGACCTCCTCTCCATTGTACTGAAGTTTGTTTTTTTTATCCCTTCAAACTTACTGTTGTTGCCTGGCAACCCAAATTAGACTGAATCTAGTTGCATACAAGAACTCATGTTTCCTAAAATTAAAATATGATACAAAAAAAAACTTCAAAACTAGGCGTTATAAAACAGAACCAAATAATACAAGACCAGAGGATATGCTATGGTACAATACGATACCATTAGATACATCAAGAGTGGCATGATACAGTAAGATGCAACAAGATGAAATACGGTATATAATGCTGCATTCCAGTTATCTCGGAAGTCAGATGTCGGAGCTGGAAATGACGTTACACCAGTAAACAGGTCGGAAAACCAAGATGGACGCCTATAGTTACCCATCGTTAGCTGTTGTTTACAATTGTCAGCTGTCGTTCGCCATTGTTAGTTGTTGTTAGCCGTTGCCAGCTGTTATAAGTGGTTGGCTATGCCAGTTGTAAACAACGCATAACACAGTATTTTACTTTTACAAACACCATAGCACCGTGTTCACAGTTAGACGTTGGGCAGCATAACATATACCACCTATTTAATTTCACAAAAACAAAACATAGATAATATATTACAAGAGCTTTTACTGTTATTCTTTACTGTTGATGCACTGCGCTGCCATCTTGGAATATGACGCCTTCAGGGGGGGCGTTCCAGATGAATTTCTGACTCAGAGCTCAGAAATTCCGACTTCTGAGTACAACTGGAACGTAGCATAAGATACAATCATAAATGATATGATTTCGATCAACATGATATGGTGCTGTTGTCGCCCGGCAACCCACAATTACGACTCCTGCTTAGCTCTTTTTGCAGACTTAAATACAATACCACAAGATATGTTACAGTACAATAAAGCATAGTACGATATCCTACGAGTTAAGATAAGATACAATACAATCAGATAAGAAATGGTTTGGTACTCAGACATTTCACAGTATCGTCTGAAGTTGAGGAATTTTTTAAAAGTTGTCAAACTTAGACACCACACAAACTATTTCAAGGCCGAGACACTCTGTGTTCAACTGCACTTCACTGGAATGCACCTTTTAACAGTTTATAATACCCTGAGGATTGTTGTTATTCTTTGTTGAGCACAATGAGGTAGTTCTTTAAAAGCTGTTTGACCTGCAATAGTTGCTGGGTGTCTTTGTGTTGAAAGACATGATTTACTTCTTCTGCGTCACATGTGCATGACACACCTTCACAATCTGTATTCACAAATGCTTTGTCACTTTACACGGCTTGTCGTAAGCCTCTTCAGTGTGTTCCTCAGGCTTCACCTAATAAGGCCCACTGCTTGGGGGAGATAGCACGCTTATTGGCTGCTTGCCCTCATCCATCTACCTTGTTGTTCTCTCATCCCTGTTATTACCTTTCTTCTTTTCCCCCATTTATGTCACCTTACTGTCACTCTCTATGTGAAAACATTGGGCTGTCCAAGTTTCAGGATGTCTGTTTTTGTCTGGGTTGCCAAATAAAAGAAAGACGCCAACAATGTCAGTCCATCTGTGAATTCTGTACGACTTTTCTTCTCTGTTTGCACCAGTTGGAAGAGAACTCTGAAACAAATTTCCCCCGTCTTCCACTGCTCAAGAGGGCTATTTTGAAAATTTGCAGTTTGGACCCTGATTACCTTTAGTGTCGATGTTAACTACCTGTCTATCGCCAAACTTGTAGGGGGGGAAATTATGGGTTTCCCTTGGCAATTGGTTATCTGTAAAACCTGCACGGAAGTGATATAAGAAGTCTGGAAGGAAAGTATATACCTACTCCCAAAAATCAAATTCCAGAGGTTGATAGGCTCACCCGCCAGCGAGTGAATGAGCTGGTGTCTCCGAGCCGATCAAGAGATTGAGGGTGATAAGTCAGAATGCAAAAAGCCTTTTTTTGTGGGTGTACTGAAGGAATGGGGGTCATGGCAACCGTAGGTGTGCATCTGGAAGTGGAAATTGCTATTTCACCCTCAAACAGCCACTGAGTCAGACTGTTAAAGAACAGGGCAGGGAATTTAACAGGGTGGAAAATTCAGAGTAATGCAGACCTGAGAGGTTGTTTCATTGGTGTCCTGCAGAACATGTGGCTAGAAGATCATTTTGAATCAATCTCCTTGTTTAAACCTTTCTCCGTTCCAATTATTACAGTATATGATTGTTGCATTAGGCATCACCATATAGTCAATGGCGCCACCTACTGTAAACACTGATGAGTTTGACGGGACCTCTTGGTATGAAAACATGTGCCACATTTCCCCAGAAAGCCAACTTATTACTGTCACAGTGTCGCTTTGCTTGGCACTGCTTCTGAGGGTAATTGGATTAACTCTAAATAGGTTGACATTGAAGGTGATTGAGCTCTATACATGTTAAATCAGGCCTGACTGGAGGAACTGAAGGACAGGAGTGTGATTATCATGTTTTTGCATGTGTTTATCACCTGCATCCTCTGGAAGCACTGTCACTTGTACTGCCAATAAAGTACTACTCAGGTAATAACATGTCCTGGAGCCATCTGCCATTGGTTGGAAAGGAAAGGAGACCTGTCTAAATGCTGTCTGCAGCCAGACATTCATCATACACAGGGCCATTGAGGGCTTAGATGTGTGTGTTGCTGTCTTATCATCCCCCAACATCATAATACAAGCGAGAGCACATCAGCGAGCGCGCTTGCACTTCTATCAGACTCCCCCAAAAACCACTTCCCCTCTGTTCCCCGCTTGCTCACAAGCCAAGTGCAGTACACGTGCACAAATCCCGGCAGTTACTTTTTTTATGATGATATCACAACTGTGTCCGACATCTGTGTAATGGCAGCGTCCAGGTTGCAGGGAAGAGAGCGATGTGTGGGGTGACAGAGTGTCAGATGTTTTATGGAGAGATCCCCAGATACAAAGAGGGGGGAGAGCGAGGGTACGACGGAGTGGGAATCAACAAGCACGAGGGAGATAACATCCTCCCACTTTATGGTGTGATTGGCAAATACATGGCAGCTTTTCTACCTGCCATTCCACTCAACCATCTCGATCACACAATCAAGTGGAGTCACAGTGGGACAGTGATAGTGATGGCAGTGCTTTATAGAGATTCCACTCACATTATCATCATCGCAATGGACAAATGCACCATTGCTACAGTAATTATATGGTAGTAAGCCTTATGAAGTTGGCTGAGCATGTTGCATTTGCAGAAATAGATTGGCTGATATTTCCAGAACAGAACTTTCAATTATCCCATTGTATCATTTCAAAAGATAAAATCCTGCTAATATGTCGAGTCATTGTTGGGAAAATGAATTGAGACAAACTCACAGTTGCTTGAATGAGATTTTGGAGCAAGGCTTCGATGTTTTGAGATGCCAATGCTTGTTTGGTTACCCAACTGTAACCCTGTACAAAAAAGTTAAACCTTTTATTTGAAATAAAGACTTTGATGGTTTGCAAATCATTCAAAGCCTATTTTTTTAAATAAAAAGTTCTAAAGTGGGTGCAGGGATGATCAACTATTGGAAAAGACATTTAAAATTTGATTAAGAATATCTGACTTGGCTAATATGAAACAGGTTAGTACCATGAGGGGCGATGAAATGTGCCCAAGTGAGGCTCTGTCTCTTAGAAGTAAAAACAGGAGGAGGTTCGCCACTTTGTGATATCATGGACGCCAGTCCAGAGGTGGTACAGGTGAGAGGGGGCAAAAGACTCCGAGGCATGGGTATCTTACACATCTGGAAAGGCACTGTTACTGCTGATCAATTTAGCTTTTAGAACAACATATGTTTCCATCCAGATAATGTAATTTTCAGTAAAGATCTTTCATATTTTAGGAAATATTTTTTCTTCTTAAATATTGTGTTGAAAAGATTCGTAAAGCATTAAAAATATCTTCTGTTTATTAGTATTACCTTTTTTTATTTTTTCAAACTGGAGTTTTACTTTCTCATTCCTTTGACCAACCACAAAATTTCCAAATCAAAGTCTTTTTCTTCAAACACAAAGACGCCTTCAATCCTGTCTCCCTGACTTTCTTTGCCACCACACTCAGCCCTCCAAGGACAGTCTCTTGCGCTCAAAATTCATTATTTAACACCACACCGAGGCTGAAACGGGGCCTTCATCAAAACTGTGACCTCTCTCTAGAATGTATTCGTGACAAAACCAATTTTTGGCTATTCAAAAACACGACCTGAGTTCTTTTGGTCAAGAACACCAGCTCTGACAGACTCTTGCGTAGCTGCTTGAAAGCTACCAAGGAATGGTTGTTTCTCATTTGCTTCTCAAAAGGTTCATGAGGGTGTCTCCATTCTCATGGCACAGATTCGGTTAAATTTAAAGAATGGCTGATTTAGATCATAATAAATAAGGAAAATCTGGGAAGGCATCAGACATGTTGACAAAATCTAATTTGGCTCTTGAAAGGAGTGTTTCATCTGGGAGTAAAACCAAAAATCAGCCCAAATTAACCATAGTTGTTCTCCAGAATACCCCACAATAATCCCAGTGGGGTCCAATCCTTAAGCCCTGCCAAGGCTTTAGCCCTCATCTCTGACTCAGTTGGAGCCATTTGGAAGTGCTTGACTGTGAAAGGCTCCAAGGGAACAACAATGTGCAAATGCTCTGTGGCCTTTTCCTGAAATGGTTTAAAAGCATGAAGATTTAGCGGCCAAAAATAAAATTATATTTCATTTTAGTTTTAATTCTAACTTTATTTCAGCACAACAAAAACACCAGACTGAACACACATCCACCTATCCCTCCATGCTTCCTTATTTGAACACTTAAAATAAGTCACAATGATCTGGATCGTAGCCTGGTCTTACAGGTAAAGGACTTCAGGAAAGTGCTGAGGTTTAAAGGGTCTCAGAAAGTGCCCTCATGGATTTGAAAGTAGAACAAGCCTAAGCCCTAAGGGACCCTGACATAATTGGGCTTGAAGGTTTTTGTCTGTAGTGTGGATACTAGGACTGGGCCTTTGTCAAAACTGATGTAAGAGACCAGCTTTGAAGTTCTTTTTACTCTTAATAGAAAAGTTTGAGCTGTTTTCCACCTTTTTTTTTCACAATTTTCTCCAACACCACGGTTGTGAACAAGCCACAATGGATGCCAGCCAGTTCAGCCCCTTTGACAAGAAACTGTTAGGAGAACCGGCATGCAAGCTAGGCTACAGTACTCTGCTTGAAAGCTTGATTCTACAATGTAATTAATCTTAAAACAATGATGCGCTCAAGGTCAGGTGGTGCGGTGAGAATAATGGTGTGGATATTAACCAAAATAGATGACACCCACGTTGAGTAATTTCATGAAAACTTGTTGTCTTCAAACTTTTTTCGACTTGAAAAAACTCGACAAAGTGCATTATGGAAATTCTGTTACATAAAGGATCAAGCATGATAAAGAGGGTTGAGCCCAATGCCAAATTCTCTACACAATAATTTCCCATTTATTTCAGGCCCGGAATGTTTTATTGCAGGTTATTATTAATATATATTTTTTCGTCTCTTTCATAAATGGGTTGGTTAGTTTTCCTCGAGGTTTTGGCCTGGCCAGTGCTGCGTAAGAACTCATCACTCATGGCCCAGATCTCCATTTCCTCATGAATAACATTGACAGATGGAGGACAACTGTGTTGTTGCATTGCATGGCAAGGAGTGTGTAAGCGCATATGTATGTGTGTGTTTGTTGGGGAGATATGAGAGTGAGGAATAGGGAAGAGATAGCGCATGTTGTAAGCATGTCTGCATACAGTCTTGATATATCTCTATGTGTGAATGCGTGTACGTGTGTGAGTGATGGCTGTGTGTCTAATCTCTGCCTACGTGAATGTACTTTACGTACACAAACCTCACACCCATCTTTTACTTTAAGCCTACTTTAGGATGGCTGTGCATGTGGAGGATGCAACAGAATGCACATATTGTGAGTGTGTATGTGTGTAAACATGTGATGGATGCTTCTCCGGTACTCGCCACTCCGGGAAAGCATGCCGCCCTCCACTTGTCTTCAATGCAATTAGGTTAAATAATGATCCCACATAAATCCCCACAGCAGGAAAAAGCCTCCCCTGCCCTTGTCGTCCTCTAAAATATGGCTGAATCCTTCATGAACGGAGGTTGAGTGAGGTGCATGAGCATAAGTGTTAGTGTGTGTGCATTTATGTATAAGGATGCCTTGTGAAATGATTTAAAGAATTGAGGTTTGGTTGGTTATGTAAGGTACAATATGTAGAAATGGGAATTGGTTCCCTGCTCTCTCACCCCCAACTGTTGGGAATGCAACAGTGGCTTTAAAGGACAAAAGGTCATGTGATGCATGATAAGTATGATCATCCATGTCCACTCCTGTGATGCTTTTGAAGTACAAACCTACATTTGTCAAGTTTTCACCATCCAAAATGTTTATCAATAGAAACAGAAATCACTTGCTGAATTTTGCCTTACCATTCAGTAAGGCAATCAATAAGGTAAGAATAAGGGTTAGAATGAAGCAAAGTAAAAGTGCCAGAGGACAGCTTTTGAAACTTAGCATTAGTAAGTGAGATGTGTTCTAAAATCAAGATGTTAGGGGCTGCCAAAATTGTTGTTAGTGGGCACAGGCCCTAAAGAAATTCACTCTAATTTCCAATTTCCAATCACCATGAGTGTGCAGCAGTATGGTTTCATGACTTCTTAAGGATTTGATCCAAACAGGTCATACAGTATTCAGCAGAACATGCAAACATAAAGCAGCCAATGGAAAAAAGCTATCAGTGGACACAGGCCCTAACGGCATTCATTCATGTGCTTCCGCACAATCTATGAAGCAATTAAAACTTGACATGATCCTTGATTACTGCATTATTGACCTGTAAACACTTTCTTAGACATTTTTACCCTATTGTAAAATGGTTGGTTCATTTTTGCTGGAAATCATTGAAACTTTATTAAAAATTCAAGGGCATTGTTCTTGACATAAATGATCAATGTCATTGGATGTTGACTGTTAAGAATTTACATCTTTAGCTCGTTTTTTGGCACAGGCTCTCTAACTATGGTTTACAAAGCTGCAACAGCCTCAAGTGCTTTGAAATTGGGGCTGTTAATGTGGCAAGTGCAAAAAACGCTTTCAGTGGACACAGGCCCTAAAGTCACTTTCTACATGAGTATTATGCCACATTGGACTACTATATTTGGCTGGTTTTAATATGACTAAGTACAAGTCTACATATGTCAAGTTTTTACCATCAAAAATGTTTATTAATACAAACAGCAATCACTTGCTCCTTCTTCCAGTCACTTAATTTTGCCTCGCCATTCAGTGAATACAAAGTACGGCAATCAAGAAGGTCAGAATAAAGGTCAGAATAAAGCAAAGTAAAAATGCCAACTTTTGTAACTTAGCAATAGTGAGACATGCTCTAAAATCAAGGTGTTGGAGGCTGATCCAAACAGGTCATACAGTATTCAGCAGAACATGCAAACATCAAGCAGCCAATGCAAAGAAGCTGTCAGTGGACACAGGCCCTAACGGCATTCATTCATGTGCTTCCTCACAATCTATGAAGCAGCAAAAACTTGACATGATCCTTGATTGTTTTTGGCATAAGCTCTCTTACTATGGTTAACAGCCTCAAGTGCAAAAAAAAACACCTTGAGTGGACACAGGCCCTCAAATCATTTTCTACATGAGTATATGCAACATTGGACTACTATAGTTGGCTGGTTTTAATATGACTGTAGAGTCAGATACAAGATACAACATCTTAAAATATAGATCCTTGTGTCTTATCAAGAGCAAACAAGATGTCTTTGAATGATAATGTTTGTGGTTAGTGTTCTCATTTTTTAACACTAATCAACCTCGCTTTCCCTACTCACTCAGAAACCAGCCGGCCCTTACCCAATTTCAAGACCCGCCTCTGAAGGATGGAGGGATGGAGAGAGGAGGAGACGAAGAGAGATGGAGGGAGGCGGGGAGACAGAGATGGTGGACTGGAGGAGACGTAGCAAAGAAAAGGGGTGTGAGACAGCGTAGATGCTGTGATGAGGCCGGTTGCCATGGCAACTAGTGCAGCAGGGCTCGGCTGGGCTCTGATATATATTGTTCCCCGTGAGAGAAGGAGGGAGGGAGAGCAAGTGGGAGACGGAGGGGAGGGGGGAGAAAG